AAAAAACACTTTGAGAAATTTCCTTGGCTATCATATTCGGAGGAACTACAAGGGTTTTTCTGTAAATATTGCGTGGTTTTTGCAAAATTACGAGGAGTACATAAATCAACTAAATTGGGAAAAGTTGTTACCGTACCACTAAAGGAATTTTCGAAATTGTATCGCAAAACCGGTGATTGTGAGACACATGAGAACTTAATATATAATACAGAAGCAGTTTCAGATGCTACAAACCTTTTAAAGGCTTACGAAAATCCAGAAAATGATATAAGAAATACAGGGTGCGGCAGAGAGGATGGACGGTTTTAAAAAAATCATAAAATAGTTAATTTTTACTCGCAAACAAATTTATTGATGAAATCAGGTTCACAAGGAAATAGCATTTGAGACAGTCAAGTGTTGAAAATCACATCAGGCATGTGTTGGCCGAAATCGTTGATGCAGTGCTGGAGGCATTCTTGGAAGTTCGCGTAGACTCTCTCCAACATCGCTCTCTCAACTTGGGCGACTTCCACGCGAATTTCGCCCTTCAATTCGGCCAGAGTTCGGGGCTTGTTCGCGTATACTCTAGCCTTTAGGTGTCCCCATAAGAAAAAATCGCATATGGATAAATCTGGGGACCGAGGAGGCCAATGAACATCACCAAACCAGGAAATAAGGCGACCAGGGAAGAGAGGACGAATAACGTCCATGGATACTCGGGCTGTGTGGGCCGTCGCCCCATCCTGCTGGAACCACACACGCACACACGTCGGATTGGAACACGTCGCCGTCGTAATTCAGGGAGAAAGAAGTTGGTGATCATGTCGACGTAGCGCTCTGAGTTCACGGTAACATCACGACCATTACCGTCTTCGAAGAAATAAGGGCCAATGGTGCAAGGTTGCGATACAGCGGGGCTGTGTAGCGGTCTTTCCTGTAACTGTTGCGGATTTTCATTAGCCCAATAACGACAATTCTGCTGGTTAACCATGCTGTTTAGGTGAAAGTGGGCTACGTCACTCATAAACAAAATGAGATTCTCATTTTGATCGATGAGTGCTTCCGTCTCACGTGCGAAGTTCATTCGTTGTGCATAATCTCCGGGCTGTAACTGTTACCCAATGACCAATTTGTAGGGGTGAAAGCGGAGATCCATATACAAAATTCGCCTTACCGAACGATCACTAAGGCGAAGTGCAGCAGCATGTTTCCGGGCAGATCGAGTCGGACTGCGAAGAAAGACCTGTCGAACGCGTTCAACATTCTCAGGAGTTCGAACTGTTCGCGGCGCTCCTCTCGGTCTTCTGTTGATCTGCGAAGTTTTATATGTACTCCCGACACATTCAGTTCAACATGTATGCGATAATACGCGGTGGTGCAATTAGGTCTAATAATTTTGGTATTTTTCCTATTAAGATAGCACACTAGTGCCTGTTCTTGTTTTCCCGTTCACTCCACCTCTGCTAATATCGAACTTAACAGAAAGCAAACCTCACTAGCTGAAAATACCAGTTTTCTAGCATATCAGAGATTTGATACCACAAGTGAACTGGTCGACTGTAATTTCATCATATTCGAACCTGAATCTAACTTCAGGGACGTCATCATTTCGTGATGTAGCAGATAGATTTGATATAACGATTAGTTGTTTATTCTACATGTAAAAAGACGTTTAATTAAGTTCTAGCTGGAACTGGCCTAACAATGAGGAAATAAACTGTCACTGTCAACTCAAACGTATTCCGATAGAAAAATGTGTTCTAGCAGAATCAAATTTGAAATCGCTTCAATCTTTTGACAACGCACATTCGGGTGTTAAACCTTTGGAAATGTGAAGGTAGAAAATTAATATTGCCATAGCCATCTGCTGAAAAAAAGATTGGTTAAGCGCAATCGTCAACATACGCGCTATGTCATGATAAGCAAGAAACTTGTATCTTGGCATTTGAATCTTTAAAGATCATCCAGATTTCCCCTATGTTATCTATATTTTGGCCAGATCCTTAATTTTGGCCAGCGAGTTTTCTCATTTCATGTGCTACATTCTTAAACAACAGAAGATAATAGCTTGAATCATAAAATAATTACAAATGGATTTACTGAAATGGATTTTTTTATACTGATGCAGAAGCTTAAATGCCGGCGCACCGCGGCTGCTAGGAGGGCCTCGAGCGAGTGATAAGTGGCTAGATATAAGACAGGTGCCTTGTTCGGCATGCTAATTATTCACCGTGTCGCCACTCGTTCGATTTATTCCTCGAGTGCCGAAGTGTTGTATCTGTGATTATTGTTATTGTTATAAATTTGTTGTTGTTGCTCAGTTTTGTGATTAAGATGTCTAAGGCCCGTCCTCCACCATCAAAAAGACGTCACATGTCAGGAAAGAGATGTCTACGTCGAAAGAATGCTCTAAAAGCAAGGTAAGTATTGCTATCTAAAATCAATAGCCTAGAAACTGAAATTTGTCGTTTTGTTTTATCTGAATGTTGCTATTCCGATTAAACAAATTTGATTTGTATGAAAACTATGATAACGAAACGAATGAAAATTGGCAAAAATATTAAGTAGTGATGTAGCAAGCACACAATATATGGCATTTTGTATTGAACTCTTCTCCTGCTATTTAAGATATTATTGTTGTTCATTTATTTTTTTCATTCCACTCAAAAATAACTTCTGTGAAAATGTCAGTGGCAAACCTTCTCCAATTACGATAAGAACTCCTTCGGGGACTACCAATAGAGTGTGCCACAAAAAAGTAACTAAACTGCAGTAACAACGCCAAAATCGTGGTTTACTTGTAGCTAAACCACTAAACAGCGACCTCAGTTTTGCGAAAAGCCTTCGGATTCTTCTGGTGCTGCTGTCCTCATTTTCTAGTCCAAATCTGGAAGATAGGTAACGGCTAGTGCATAAAATCAAAATGTGATTTTTGTTTTTTCTCTTATACGAGTATATGCACCTGTCTCATTGCTGACGGTTATTGAATTACTACCTGGAAATTCATAAAATCCGAACTGGGATTTCCGGAATTTTATTGAATAGCCAGTCGGGATAAAGACGGATTAAAATGGCAGGTAAATTGCATATCTTATGTAAAGGTATAGGAAAGAAAGCAAAAGTTGCGTCAAGATTAGCGCCAGAAAATCAGTAGAGCAGCTACAGAAATATAAGGCAGAATCCATAATGTTTTCACAGGCTAACCGTATACAAAATGTGAAAAATCAGTCCAGTAAATACTAAGTAAATGGCTGTCTGAATTTGCGATAGATTCACGCCACTGACAAACAATTATCAGTGCGCATTGTTCATGCGTATTTATACATCAAAACCAAATTGTGTGCATCGTATGTGTAGGTAGTTCTAACTCACCGTCGCGGTATTTGAACAACAAGAATCTTCATCATCCCCAACCATCCACTGTCCTCCTCTTGCTTCTCTTCCTGTGGTGGATAACATACCAGCTTAACATGTACAAATTAACCAGTATTTTAGTAGTAGTATTTATTTTCCAGGCAGCACCGGTGGCCGCAGTAGTAGACTCTTCGGTCTCCTGATCAGTCGCCGTGCGCTGTGCGAGTTCGAGTCCCGTCCCAGGAGAAATTTTTCTCTTGGCTATGGATGTTGTGATTGTCCGTAGGTGGTAGATGGTCTCTGACTGTAGAACGCGAAGGTACCACCCGGCGGATCTCGTAGGCGGAGCCAGAATGTGTGCATGTTGCATGCACACGTGTTCCCTCGCCAGAGTCCGTGTGACGTTCCCCCTTTCCCATGTATCCCCCTATAACCCTACGGTACTCAATGGGTGCTTAGGCCTTAGGCCTTCGTGGTAGTTGGAGTATAAAAAAAATGTATTTTATATAGATACCTACATCATATACTTGAGTTGTATTTTACATTTGATTGTTTTTGTTTTTGCAATACCTCTCATCCACTTTTTTCACTGTTTATAAGTAAGCCGGTTATCAGCTTAATTCATTTTTTAAATTTTTTTGGGGTTCGATGCTGCCAATTCAATTCACACTAAAAGCAAATTCAAAATCGCAATCAAGCAAAGGAGCTGATATACATGAAAACTATTTAAATTTTCAGTTTCGTATCTTATAACTTTCATATATAGATACAAATATACTGAAACTGCTTTTATTTGAATAAACGTTTATAACTACGATGCGTATCTTTTTACAACAGTGTATATACGATAATTTTCAAAGGTCTCGCAACTGATACGTGAGTATAATATTTTAGCCAACAAGTTGAACATTTCAATATCGCAGATTATGCAGGGCAGATGCGTCGTTTTACCTAGCAACGGAAAAGAACGATTATAAAATCCATTTTTCTGCCTGGTCGTAGATAAGCTTATTTGTAATATGTTAGTTGTAGATGATTGACCATTTACTTATATAGTAAGTATGCGAACTGACTGTTCGCATATATATGTATATATATATATATACGTATTCAAAACGCTAAGGTAGTATGACATCGCTGACCATCTATCACCCTCATATTTTCCTACGGCTGTGATAGTGCCAATAGCTACCCGCAAGTAAACATTCAGGTCCTTGCGTCCCACACGGAGAATTATCGACCGAGCGGCACGCGCCGAACGGCTTAGCAGCGGGTAAGAGGGTGAGTATGGTACCAACCATCGATGGTACCAACTATTCGTGATTGGTGGTTATAATGCCAAAATATCACACTGGCCGGCGGGGCGACTGGGCCGCTACACTATGAACCGTTGTTGTGGCAACGTTGTGCTCTGAAACTACGATGAGTAGGTGTGTTCAAGGGATAGTGGGCAAGGCGTATCATTTTATCATGAATTTGTTCATTGCACGTTAAGGTTAGTAGAATTGGAAAAAGCCTCATCAGATAGATTGTTCCACAATCTCGATACTCTAGGGTCAATGGGGCGGTCGTATCAGCCGTTTCTGGATGTACTAAGTTCGACACGGTTAGGATGGGAGGCCGAAGTCAGGCGATACATTATGTTGGAAATAAAAGTATCAAACGTACTGATAATATTTTTATTGTTAGATTGTTCGTACGCGCTACGTAACTTTATAAAATACAAAAGACTATAAGGCACATAGCACTGTAACAGTTTTAGATTATTGTCTTTGACATATGCGGCCAAATAACATTATTATACTTCGATAAACAATATGGAATTTACAAAGGAAATTGTTAAATCACCAAAATAAGTCAACATATTAGAGCATCTACATGGCAAAAAAGCAACAACCCTTTTCATCTCTTAAACAAAATACAATTAATAAACAATATGCGAAATTGAGTTAATATATAAAACATAAATATAAAAGTTCAATAAAAAAACAGCTGGGCAGAAATCAGGTAAAAAAAATCGGTAAGAAATATCACTTTCTTAATAAAAAGAAAAACGTCGAGATCTCATCTCACGAAATGCCACGTTCAACTTAAAAATCACAGTGCAGTATATTAATAACTTAAGCACCACATTAAATATATAAAAATTTAACACAAGAACTACCTAACAAACGTAAGGAACAATAACAGTAAGTTTAAAAATTTCACAAACGTTTTTGTACTCGATTCTATCCAATCAGAGTATGTACAATACATATATTTTAATACAAATTAGAGTACAAAAAGTGACTGCTTATAGGCGTTCGGTATCAGATTTCTTCATCTTTGAACCGCCTGTAGATGGACTGCACGTAGGTGAATACACATTTCCAGTCAGGCTTTCGAGTGGCCATCATATCATCAACGTCCAGGAGAGGGAAAATATCGGCCTTTTCACTAGAAAAAAAAAGGCGTCAAGTAGATTGACTCTGCACCTCTCACGCAATGTTGTCATCAGTTCATAAACGATTATGATCGGCACAAGTTTTTTTTTTGAAATAATTTATTTAAACACAATAATACAAAAAGTATAACCAGTTTTAACAATAATTCCCTAATCAGTGTTTGCAAACACTGGCCCCGAGAATAACAAGACAATAATCAATATCTATGAACTACAGGTACACTGCAATGTTGCTCATAATTTCAACAAATAAATTCATTAACATTTTTACAATCTTTCAATTCTCTAACAAAACTTCTATAGTTATTTGAATCTTTTATACAATGTGGTAAATTATTAAATTTCTTAATTGCGTCTGTGATCGGATTTTTTAAACCTATGTTAGTTCTTGTGGAAATTTGATAAACATTATTTAGTGATCTTGTTTGGTGATCATGCACGTTATGGTAGAACCTAATATTTATGTTACTTTTTAGTAGATTATTTATAATTTTATAAACAAGTTTACATTGTTCCACCTCCAATAACACTCTTAATTTGTTTAAATTTAAATTTGAATAAAGTGTATTAAAACTTGTAAGCCAATCAAAATTAAACAATATTTTCAGAACTTTATTTTGTAAAACTTGAGCTTTATTAAAATTATCTTCACCGCACATACCCCATACTGGCAAGAGGTACCTAAAATGTGTAAGAAAGAAGGCATTATAAATTTGAAATTTGCTTTTGTTGGAGAAATAATCTCGACTCTTATATAAGGCAGATAGCATTGAAACTATTTTATCACAAATTCCATTTACGTGAAGTGACCAATTTAAACTTTCATCTATTAGTAATCCCAAATATTTAATACTTGACACTTTTTCTAGCGCTATATTATTTATGTTAATATTTAGATTATTGCTATCTTATTTTTTTGTTTAAATATAATGTATTTTGTTTTTTCAATGTTAATTTTTAATCTATTCGAAAACAGCCATTTAAGATAACTATTCAGGTCATCATTAATAAGATTCGTTAAAGCAATTTCGTCTGTTCCAGTATATATCAGTACAGTGTCATCTGCAAAGGTAAAATATCTTCCCCTCAGATTGGCCAACTTGAGATTCAGTACATAAAGACTGTATAACAGAGGTCCAAGACCTGACCCCTGTGGTACTCCATAGGTGCTAGATAACCATTCACTATCAATGTCTCCAAGCTTTATGTACTGTTTTCTGTCATATAAATAAGACTTAATCAAGCTGTACTAAACACCTCTAAATCCCATTTTAAACAATTTATCTAAAAGAATGTCTACGCTTACTACGTCAAGAGCTTTATTTAGGTCAATGAAAACAGCTACAACTATTTGTTGTTTATCTAGAGCCATTGAAATGTAGTCCACAAAATCAACAACCGCACTAAGTGTGCTACTGTTCGTTATAAAAGCATATTGAAATTCATCAATCAATATATTGTGAGTAACAATGAAAGATAACATTCTTTTTTTTATTAATTTTTCTATAATCTTAGAGAATACACACACCACTGAAATAGGCCTGTAATTGTTCATACATTTAATATCTCCCGACTTAAAAAGTGGGGTTATTTTAATTATTTTCAATTCTGATGGAAATATTCCTTTTTGTATAGTTTCATTGATTAATCGTACTAAAACAGGTATTAAGTATTCTCCAAGATTATTTGATACCGTCATATCCAGATGCTGAGTTTATTTTTAGTTCTTTCACAACTTCCAACAACTCTTCTTTATTAGTCAATGTTATCGAAATAGAATCTTCGTTGTGAACCTCACCAACAGAAATAAACTCATTCAACTGCTGAATCTCTGCTTCCAAATTTTCAACAATTGATCCACCGACCCGAGAAAAGTATTTATTTAAATTGTTTGCAATATCAAGTTGAGTGTTAATAATGTTATTTTCAGTTACTAGTTGATCAATTCTTACTTTATACTCCTTATTTTTTATTAGGCTGTTTATAAAAGCCCATTGTTTCTTTACATTGTTTCCAGCTAAGCTCCATTTAGTTTGGAAATAACGGTTCTTCAAAGCACGTATTTTATTGTTTATTTTATTTTTGATGTTTTTAAATTCAGAGATGATAGTTAAGCCTTCTGGTTGGTTAATCTTTCTTTTATATAATTTATCTCTTTTTTTGATAAGCTCAAGGACTTCATTATTTATCCAGGTGTTATTTGTACGTATTCTTAATTTTTTTATATATACCGATTTACTTTAACTCTGAACTAGCTACAAACATGTATAACAAAAAAAATGGATCAAATCAGCCAAACAGGGTCATGCAATCAGTCCATGCTACACCTCCCCCCCACTCATTTGATAACGCTAATGCTAAATTCTTCCCTCCAAGTATCGACACTTCGTGATTTCAATACTTCCATGCCAGTAGGCGTGGGAAGTAAAAAGCTATACTCTTCAGTAGGGCATTGCGGTCAATAATGATGATTTTCCGGATATAACTAAATCAATACTTACTCGGCAACCTTGAAGGCGAGCTCGAAGTTGTGTCTTCGATCTTTGGGCGTCAACTTGTGATAGTCGAAAGCGTCTGGCAGAAAATGGTGGATCAACGCGCAGAAAGCGAGTCCGTCCGCCCAGCTGCTAGAGAAGTTGTCTAGTTGAACGTTCTAGAAACAAATCAAATAAAAATCAAAATAATAAAAAATCCATCGATTTCTATATAAAGTGCGTCACCAGTAACATGTGTTGTGCCAATTCAATTCCGGGAATGCAGTAATAACTTGAGATCTGTCAACTTCAGCCCGGTAAAAGAGCCCTCTTTTTGAGTTACAGTCCACAACTAAAGTCGATTGCTCGTGTGGTTTGAATTTTGTGGGTGTTTTTTGAAAGAAAGTTTTTGAGCGGCGTCGTGAAAATGAGTGACTCTCATTACAAGCAACGTGTGGTGAGCCAATGTTTAGTGAAATCTGGTGAAAAATCCTCGGAAATCTTCCGAAAGTTGCAGGTGATGTATGAAGACAAGTGCATGTCGAAAATACGCGTGTTTGAATGGGAAAACGGTTCAAAGAGGGGCGTGAGTCAGTAAAAGATGATCTACGTGAAGGGGCTCCCATAACCTCTCGTACCGACGCATGTCGACCGTTTGCACCCTCTGATATCTGATCGGCGCCTAAGCATTCGTGCATTGTCTGTCATTCCACCCACCCTATAGCCCTGATATTGCCCCCCGCGACATTTTATTCCCTAAAATGAAGTCACACCTCAAAGGAACTCATCATGGTGGCATAGAGAAGGTGAAAGCAGCTATACGAAGGTGCTGAACTTCAGAGGATTACAAAGGCTGTTTTAAATCGAGGGAGCAGCGAGGGAGCGTTGTGTAGAGTTAAAAAAATAAAATTTTATGTGTATTTTGATTTGCTTGTTATTTATTGACAAATTCCCGGAGGTTAATTGGCACACCACGTACTGCTATAATCCCAAAGGTCCTATTTTTTAAGCACCGTCGTACACAACTCAAGTATCGTAAGAATTGTAAATGGCAACATCAGACCGCATATCTTTGTACGGATCGCACAGATTTATACACCCCGTGATGCTGATACTTGTATAGGATAGCGAATTGGTAGCGAAACGGTGATATAAAGTATGTTCAGCCTTTCTTAGAATCGCAGTCTTTCCAAGCTCACTGCAAAGCAGAACGGGATGGGGGGGGGGGGTGTTCCGGGTTCTATCAAATTTTTATTACTAGGAGAAAGTTGTCGAAAAATGTTGTAACATACATTGTGGTGTATGAAGAAGCGATTGAGGTATGAAATTCACATTACTTAATATATGAACAATTTCTTCACGAATTTATAGATGGATGTCTTCAAGGTCATCCGGATTACATTTTGCGGTATTCAAATCAATTCATGGATTATCTGTTCTAATTTCGTGAAGAAATCCACGAAGTACTTCATGGATTTATTGGCGTCAAATGTCTGATTTACACTTCTGAAATTTGGCCTCGAACGCAATTAATGAATCCGTGGATTTATTGTCAGTGTGAAACGGGTAGGTATAATAGTTATGTTCAAGTTTTAATGAAAGCAGTCAGCGTCTCGAGCTACTTAGTAGACGTCATTAAATGACAGAGATAAACACAACAGTGGCCCTGTTATTTGATAGATATAAATGATTTCAATGAAATCTTGTGTATTATTTATGTATATATTGAAAACCAGATATAGTATTTTCCACGAGTATCCATTACCGTAGAATGACAGCTGATTATCTAGTGATATTTCAAATTCCCCATATCGGCTAATAACAATCATTCTGACATATCCGTCAACGGCAGGTAGAGAGATCCGTACTTTGTTTTGACTTTTTGTAAGCTACGGATTCATTTTGTACTTGCTAACAGCTCTTTTTATTTAGTAAAGTACATTTACTCACAAAAAACAAAACACTACAATCAAGTTTTACTAGATTTACAAACGATTCATCAATGCCAACGTTGCGGACTAACACAAAAATGTTATTTGCTGATCAGCTGTTAATGCCAAAATTCCATAAACTGTCATACCTTTGTATACTTTTTCTGGGACCTTTATACACTTCCTACGCTACAGAACAAAAAATGTGGCCCTAAAGTAGCATTTTAGATTCCTTGTGGTAGCATAATCTAGTCACAACACAATATAATTTATCATGTAAAATAAATTAGAAAACTGCGCACCTCACTGGTTTCTTTAGGCCCCACGGTTTCAAAAGTTTTTGAAATTTCCTTCCTAACGATAAAACTTTAATAAGATCCGGTCAAGCCACCACAGAGCGTAACATGCGAGCCAAATTGTTAGTACTTCAAACCAAAACTGTTAATAACGGATAAACCACAGTACAGCACAAAAAAGCGCATGACAATAAAGATTCTTCAATATTAAAATTGAATTACTGCCTTTTTTTAAATGAAAGTCAATTCTTTGGCCATCTGTATCACAAAATTATGACGCCCGATCTGATAATTTGGTACTAAGTCACATTTGTCATACAGAAATTCCTTTTTAACTTGCTTTTATTAGCTTGGCCTGTATGTACATGTATGTATACTTTATCTGAAGTCACTTGAAATAGCATAAAAACTTTTGGTCGGCGCGTCCTTTGTAATTTCATGACGTATCATAGGCGTGCGGCATTTATTTAGAACGATAATAATAATGTTTTTATATCACAATAAATGGATTTTACTATCTTCTTATTTTTTTGATTTTGGATGAAAAATACTTATATTGGGAGTTTAATTTATGTTGACTGAAAGTTAAGAAATGGAAAAGTTACAGAATTCAAACGTTTGACATAGGCAAATATTCACATAGCAGGTAGGTATATAAAAAGGTATATAAAGACTTACATTATAGGTATTTATATATCATCCTCGCCTTCGGAACTGTCGCTAGAGTCATCTTGTAGAGGAATTACAACGGGATTTACAGGAGGCAAAACACAATATTTTCTTTTTCAATAATATGCCTAGAACACTGCTTCCATAGGTCTGTGGCAGCAATATGAGATACTGCATCTCTTATTGTGGCCAATAGCGATTCACTTAATTGAGGGGTCTGATTATGTTTTCTTACTTTTTTTTTTAAAGCAGCCCAGACCAACTCAATCGGGTTAAAAATGCAGTAATAGGGAGGTAGACGTAATACTTCATGGCCATTTTGCTGAAGCAGATTGTCAACAACATACTCTTTTTCAAATTTTTGTCTTTTAATAAGATCCAATAATATGGCTTTGGTTGATTTTTGTGGTATTTCCATTCCCTTATCCTTCATAAAATCAATAATGTCTTGTTTTTTGTGCCTGTATTCGGAATTTTGTTTTTCTGTCGGGAATGGTATGGCGCATTGTCCACTGAATTTGGGGAAATGTTTGGTATTAACTGCTGCTCTATCCACCTTTCAAATAAGTCGGAGGTCATGTCCTCATGATAGTCGGCACATGATTCTTTGATATTTTTGGCAGATAACAGCAAGGCATTAGGTATAAATCCATTTTCACTGCCAGCATGGAGAATAATGATTCGTTTTCCACGGTTGCATGGTGCATTTAAAATGCACTTGTTGCTGTCGTCAACCCAGCCGTACTGCACAACATCATGGGTATCATACCACGTTTCATCCAGGTAAATCAGATTTCTTTTTTGCTCTCTATAGATTTTAACTTTGTCCAAAAATTCAACAATTCGAGACGACTCCATAATCACCATTCTTTTATCTAATTTTTTGTATTGAAAACCACACAGTTTTACAATACAGTGCAGTGAGTCTAAGCATTTGTAATTATAAAAATATTCAGGATAATCTTTTAATTTATCCCGTATCATTTCCAACGTGGGCACCAAATTTTCTTTATAAAATCCGTATATTATACGACGAATATCTTCCTGAAAACCCACGTCTATTCTTTTTAATTTTTGCCCTATGCGCTTTCTGTGGAAGGAATGGTTGACTACATCTCCCCTTTTTATAACCCGATAAATGGTAGACCGACTGATTTTTGTCAGGATACAAATTCTGTTTAAAATTTGATTTTGCGAGGAATCTGGATTTTCGTTTTTCAGACAATCATACATATTTGGGATTACTCTTTAGGTCTGTTCCTCTAAATCTTTTTGAAAGAATTCTGCCTGCACAGGTTCATCAACCATCTCCTCGTGGCTTGGAGCATTTTCCCAAGGTCTCCAAAGAGCCATATTTAGGACACACAAGAACAATCAACACAACAATTAAATCAACAAGTAAACTGAGTATTCAAAAGTCAAAAACACACAAACTAATAAAATCTATGAAAAAACACGGACAGACTAAAGAAAACACGTTTATTCACCGCTACCTCTCATTGGCTATGTCCACGCATAGGCGTGCTTTACTCCACGTGGACCGGTGAAACTGCCTTTGATCTTATACGGGGGATATTTGCTGCGAAATTTGGCGATTTTTGCAGCAACAGAGCGTGTTAAATATAGATATATAAAACGCACCCGGTATTTCACAGTGTTTCAAGTGACTTCAGATAAAGTATATGTATCTAACGGAATCTGAGCATAATTTTCACCAATTTCCGGAAGTTTGGTTGATTTGAATCTTTGTACACGTATCAAGTACCGATGGCCATACAATAATTTGATAACAATTTTCCGTTATCCTTATTATTACCGCCAGGATTGATAAATTCTTTTATAGATCCTCTGTAGGGGAGTAAGAGAGATAGAGATAGCGCGCAATCTGCGCATGCGTGCAGTTTCGGAGTCTTTGTTGTTTAGGACACTCGGCCCAGCACAACGGAGGCAGATACTTTTTCACATGATTAAACCGATATCGGCACAGTTCCGAGCTATGGAACTGCTGAGAGACGAATGTTGCCATTAATCCTGAGCTAGGCTTCGACCGTTCTCAAGACGCAAGGTTGTATAGTCGATCATGCACTCATTTATCTAGGCTCGCGACTGTAAGATCTTTAGACGGTATTCGGATTCAAGAACTTGATTGCTCTAAGTTAACAGGAAAAACCCCATGCAACAGTGAAGCTTTAAATGTCCACAAAAACTAATTGATGAATCAAACTAAAATATGAAAAATAAATAATAGTTTAAAAAAACTAAAAAAACACGCTTTTATAGCTAACCGAACTAAAAAGTAGAAAATAATTTTTAATTATAAAGAGTTTATATTACAGTAGTAGCTGGTCGATCAATAAATCATAATTAACGACCTCAAAATGAAATTATAATAAAATTTAAGTTTTTTTAAACTATTATTTATTTATGATGGAATGCAGATTCTCAAAGTTTCATAGACCCGTCGAACATAACATTCAACAAAAATTTACGTTATACACATAAAATGATGCCAGCTAAGAAAACTTAAGAGCAATTCAGCTAGTAAACATATTATAAAAGGTCCAGATAACTATTAACCTGAAAGTTCCCGTTTTTACAATGTACATATTTAAAGTTTATATTTATGCAAGTAAATTATAGCTATATAAATTTTCGAGTATAGAAGAGTTTATGTTACTGAAATAGAAAGTACAACAATCAAGTATGACTAATAAATTTGGAATATGATATAAAAACTAAGATATTAACAAAAAAATCAAATACAGGAAAAAAGCATGGCGTGCCTGATATTAAAAGTTGCAATTTACAAAATAGGAGTTATACAAATATAGTTAATTGCACCCTACGCATTTTTACTACGATTGATTTTTTTGTTAATATCTTAATTTTAATAATGATCGTACTTCAAATTAATAACACATACACGATTGTAGGGCTTTTTATTACAGTGGCACAAGCTCCCCTATACTTGTTTTCTACTTTAAGTTCGATTTGCGTTTTTTTAATTATAATTTATTTTTTGAATTTCTAGTGTAAAAACAACAAACTACTTATAATCCAGAGCTTAGATTTTTGGGATAGTTTCTCATATTGAATTTAAATTCTCGAATTTTTTCCCAAATAAAAAATTCATTTTTTTTCAATATTCTCTATTTTTTTTTCGCAATTTATTGTATCCAAATTTATTTCCAAATTTCAAAATTTTATTCGAAATTTCCAGTTTTTACAAATTTGGGATTTTCCAAAATTCCAGATTTTTTTTCAACAGTTCCAAATCGTAAATAGTTTCCCAAATTCCGAATTTTTCAATCACTTTCCAAATTTTCAAATCAACTTTTTTCCAAATACAAAATTCAATTAAAAAAAAATTAAAGCGACAACAAAAGTAATTAAAACCAAGACCTTCGATTCTTGATATTTTGCCTTATAGTAGATATTATAATTTTTTTCTTAATTTTATTTTTTTTTCAAATTTCTTACTTTTTCAAATTTGTTTCACAAATTTTCGAATTTTCCAATCATTTTTCAAATTTTCAAATCCATTTTTTTCCAAAATTATTGTATTGTCATCGACCCTTGGTTCCTGTACAAATTTCATGAATCGGACTTCTTGAAATCGGTGAAAATTAGGTTGAAAGATTCCGTTATATACAACAATATACAATATACAATACACGTACATCTCAAACTAATAAAAGCGTGTTAAAAACTGATGCTAAAAGCATTCCACCTCAATCAATGGTTTAATGCACTTTTTCCATATTCTCTAAATCTGCCGTCATTTTTCCTGAAAACATTCCATAATATCCTTCAGGTTCAGAATTTTCACAAAAAAAGTAGAGACAACAAAATAATTCTAGTCAATTGGCATATAAGCAAGTCAAAACACCCAGCAAACAAACAGACAAACAGATTTCATACCTCGTACTCCTTAGTCTTCATTCGACACCAATACAAAAGGCGGTCTTTGATGGTGCTCGCTGATTGGCTGAGCGCAGGGTCAGTGAATTTAAAGAGGGGCCGGCCACCAGGACTCTTGGGAGTACCCGGGGTACTGCAGATACCATCAAGCATATATTAGTACCGAGAATGGGTAGGTAAAAGTGGTAGTCAAGCGCAAGCGGGATGTCAATAGGGAGCATATTTAATACTACACAGCATTTGCAACTGCCTGACGAATTACGATGACATTTCTATGACGTTGATGCTGCGACGCCGTGTCCCGCTAATCATGTTACGAGGGATGTCTTTTAAGTTTTGCATATGGAAATAAAACAACCCGGTAGGTAGTTTTAAATGACTTTATTGTTATTCGAAGTATTCTCCACGAAGATTAATACAAATCTGCATGCGCTCGAACCAATTTTCGAAACACTTATTCCACTCGTTTGCTGGCAGATCCAAAACGGCATTTTTGAATGCGTCAACTGCTTCTTCTGGTGACTGGAACCTTTGACCACGCAATCTGTTTTTAATTTTCGGGAAAGTAAAGAAATCGTTAGGAATTAGATCGGGACTATTCGGAGGATGTTCAAATAATTCCACGTTTTCTTCCATTAAATACTGCCTTGTTTTTTGGTCTGTGTGCGAGCTTGCATTGTCTTGGTGGAGGATGATTCTTCTTTCGGGGCTGATTTTTCGAAGCTCGGTGATGACTTTTGGCAAACAAATGGTGATATACCAATCCGCAGTAATAGTTCTTTGCTCAATAAGAGCAATTGTTGCAATGTGACCCGCTTTTGACACAAATGTCGGGACCATCTTTTTCGAAACACTTCGAGAACGGATGACTTTGTTGGCTTTTTTTCACCTTGGAACACCCAAACAGCCGATTGTCGTTTATTTTCTGGTTCATATAGGGTATCCAACGAGAAACTAATTCTCTTACTCCTAATTCTTCATGTAAAATTTTTTGAATTGAGGTCTTCAAGATCTTCAAGGACGCATCAATCTCGCGATATGTCTATCTTCAATGATAAGTTTGGACACAGCATCGACGTTTTCCTGGGTGACTGACGTTTTTGGTGCACCCACCCTGGGATCGTCGCTAAGACACAACCGTCCACGTTTGAATTCTCCATACCAACGGGAAATTGTCGACTGATATGGCGCTTCGTTGCCGAAAACAGACTGTAACTCAGCAAGGCACTCTTGTTGGGATAATTGTCTCTGAAAGTTGTAATAAATTATAGCGCGAAAATGTTCTCGGTTGAGCTCCATTTTTCTAATGACTTGGTGACACTTAAAAATCCACTGTAGTGAGAACACTGCACGTATTGTTGTGAAACTTTGAATTTAAGTTTACTAAAGAGTGAGGTTAAGATTCAGTACTGACGTCGGATCCGCGCGGCCTACTGTGTTCCTATATGCAAAACTTGAAAGGCGATGGAATATCTTATAATAAGATGGACTCGCAATGTGCAGTATCAAATATGCTGTATCAATGGTTGGTTAGATTGAAAGTAGACCTAGAGAGAATCAAACAGTAAAGGATCAGGGGCATATGGACTTTTTGGTACTGACAATAGCTTAAATTTTTTGTCGCATGTGGGGCATTTCACGTGAAACGCACAGCGAAAAAGAGTGAGGTTTTAAAATTAGCTCATATTTAGCCTGTTTGATCATTCAGTAAAACACGATTTCTTTTTCATGGCACGTCGATGTTACGGGCTTCGTATTTGAAATTTGAATTTCTTTGAAGAATTTCTTTGAACTGGAAAGTATTATATTAGAACATGAGACACAGCGTTTTAAATGAGCTTTTCTGTACTTTTCAGAAAAAAAAACAAACTTGATATTAAAAAAACAAGGTGCTAAACAGGAAGTAAATACTTCAAACCAAAATTTGGCCAATATCACATTTTTTTATTTTCGATTTTTTGACTTTTAAATACGAGTATATCCTAAAGTGTTTTTAGAGTATATCTGAAATTTTGGAATGGTATGAGCATAAATTACAGAGGTACGTATTTTTATATACATACATGTCGCCTAGGGTATGACGTTAGGTTGTCAGGTTTGCGCATTAATATATTTGAGTCATGAATATTTTTCAGCTATAATAATCATTTTAAATATATTTTAACATAAACTTATAGGTTACTCTTATACCATATTCTGAAATATTGAAATCTGGAAAAATAGGCGAACAGAAGCGGCGACGTAGCACCCATGTCTGTCCCAATGTGGAGTAAATGAGGTTTGAACAGACCTTAAGTAACACTAAAATTAAGTATATCTCTGCATGTTAACAATATTGTCGCAATGGAAATGGAAATAAAAGATATAGAGATCCTTGTTTCCTAATCTATTATTTATTTTGTAATCAAAATTAACTAAGTTCTGAAATATGGATTAAAAAGTATTCGCCAGCATCTAAGAACATTTTATTGTTTGAAAACGATATCTCTACACTATTTAAATCTGACTGAAGCTGTCTGCAATCCTTGTCTGGAGCAATCACTGTAAAAATCTTGAAATCATCAGCAAACAAAAGACACTATTGGGTAATCGACATTGAAAATAGCAATAAATGTTATGATTAATAAATTCTTTGAAGACATATCTAAGACTACAGAATGCGTATTCTTTAATAAACATCGAATAAATATTCAATTTACTAGGCTACCATTAGCCCTGTTCTTCATGCCAGCCTTGTTAGTGTTAACAGGGAGATGCCGCGCACCCTACTGGACGGTAGGACGACTACACGACCACGCCGCGCCGCGGTGACGGAGACAAGTCTAGAAGTATAGTCATCCTACTGCCCAGTAGAGGGCGCGAGAGCTTCCTGTTAACAGAGCTGGCTAAAGGAACAGGGTTTTCCGCACGGTAGTCAAGTAAATTGAATATTTACTCGATGTTTGTTAAGGAATGAGCATTCGGTTATTTTACTTATGTCATCGGAGAATTTCTCAAGCAGAATTTGGAACAGCAACAGTGACGCATTGTTATTTTAAATAAACTGTTCATTTATTGCTGTCATATCAATATAGACATTGTATCAGATTTGTGTCCATCCTTCGGGAATGGCGCAATCCTTTTTTTATTGGTGCATTTATGACCACGGCCGCTAATTGAAAACGCAAATGAAAAAACAGGCTTTTGCAGCTAAAAATGTCTGGGAATCGGGGGCCCATCTTACACGAATATAGTTTGAGACACATCTTACAAGAAATCGACCATATTCATTAGATCCGTTACTTTAAAGAGACTTCTCATTGGTTAAATTTGTGACCTATGTGTTTTTTTGCGTCCCAACTTAGTAAAATCAAGCCTGAAGGCCGTCTGTCACGATACGAAATTTTGTGCTGAATTTATTTCGTGAATTTTAGAGCTAGATTTTTGTCATAAATAATATAATACGAGTAGTAAAAGAGCGCAAACGACTACTGCGCATTGGAACCGGTACAATGGCTGATATAACCTCAAACACTTTCTTTAGTTGATGTTATCAGTTGTGTTCATCAGTTTCGCGAAACTCCCCTGCTTATGCAGTTATACTTATAGATTGAGAATTTAAAAGATGCCATGATCAAAAGAGCAGTGTGACATACTACTAAACGAGTATGAGGAGTATGATTGTTTATAAGTTTATATGCTGTAAAAAGCGAGGTCTATAAAAACAGAAAAGCCAACTAAGCTGCGTTGGATAAAATCAGAATGACTTTAGAACTAATTAGGCTTATAAGCCAGTGGATCCTCCACTAGAAGTTCTTTATTCAACAGCACACCCATGCCCTGGTTCCTCTCCCTGATAAATTTTCGACACCAAATTCTTTTTGGTTTCGTTTACTTCGTTGTCTATTAATTTCTAATTAATATATAATAAAGTAATAAAGTAGCAAGCCGCAAAGAGAAGTGTGGTTAGAATGACTTCGACGTGATAAATGGCAGTTACAAGTTGACAGATATAGTCTTTTTCTACCAACTGCGCATGATTTTGTACGAAATTAGTAAACAAATTGGAAATCAAATTCAGTAACGAATTTTTTCACGAAATTTGATGCCAAATTATGTGACAGACAGCCTTAAGAGCCGACCTCACCCAACAGACGATATATATACTATTTTGTTAAGGGTAGGCTAATAATGTCACTGGTTCTACCATCAGCATTATTCATCAAATAAGCATCTGTAAAGGGACCAGGAGCAAGGCATGGAGATCAACCCTCCTAGTAGCAATTAATAATAGTTAATATAGTTATAGAATCTTACCTTGGTGGTGTGTTAAGGCTGTTCTGTTTGTCCAGTTGTTGAAATTTGGCGAAAGGGGATAACGGTTTCTTGGTCACTTGAGTCGTTACTTTTGTCACTGAAAAAACAACGAATTCAGATATTTTCCAAAAGATATAAAATTATCACTACTTTTTAAGAACGGTAATCTGGTATAGTCCATCTCAACGTTGCGATGTTACAATGCGAAATTTTCGATTCGCCTTCCTTAGATGCATTATATATTTTTCCACAATGTCAACATTTTGGCACAGAAAGTTAAATGGCTGGGTTCCAAAGGTTGATTGATATAAACAAAAGGGATTTTATTTTTGCAAAAATTTTAATTGAGATGACCTAAAATAGAAGCTAAATGTAACTCCGAAAATGTCTTAAAGTCGCTGAGATATAAAACAATTCATTGCATATAACTAAAGACAGTGGAGTCAAGTAGATTAACTTAATAATTTCCACTCCCTAAGCTTTGAGCAAATCTATTCAAACTTAACGTTTTTTTTCGACTGTACTCTAAGTTGTCTAAGAGAATGTAAATAGTCAACAAGTAAACGTAAGGGCGTTCTAAAATTTTCCGTTGGTTGGAAATAACTTCGTGGCCTCTTGAGCGAACAAAAACCACGACAGAGAGACAAGCTGATGGAACAGAGTGATACGGTTTTGTGTGATTTAGCATGTTATAAACATGCTTAGATAGACTTGCGATTACAAAGTTTTTTCCTCAACTGACGTTGGAAGTTAAAGCAATGAATTTGTGTGTATAACAGGGAGTAAGTGTGTATGAATTGTAAATGACAAGGGGTATCGAGTAATAGCTTTTTGAAAGGTCTTTCGAAGTCCCTTATTTTGACGTTTGATATACACGAAAATAACACCTATTTCAGTGTTCAAAATGTTACCCGTTAGGGTTTTCCAAATCTACAATTTGTTTATAATTTCAAACGGAGACTACCAACATTAACAGCAATTCGGAAGATTAGACGTGGCGACAACCAAATAACAACCCGAATTTTTTTCCACATTCTTTTCATCAACACAGATCCTGTGCGAACTGTATTTAGTGTTCTATCTGTTTAGTTATTTGTTGCTAAGGGAAATAAAGAATCAAATTTGCTGTCAGTTACCTTTCTGACATTTATTGATTTAGATTTTACTTCAAAAATGGTTCACACACTAGCCGAAAGAGTTGAAATGATTCTAACGTATGGTGCTCGGCAAACTGCCGTCATGTTTAACGCCAGACGTCCGGAGAAGGCATAAGTATGTTTTGGACCTTCTTACTAAATTTACTCAAACTGGATCTGTTGCAAATAAGAAACGTGATCATCAAAGAGTTTTGGATGAAGCTGCTCAAGTTGAAGTTTTGGATCATCCTAATACTTCATTACGGACAAAATTGTTGCTGCGACTGGTATTTCATTAGGCTCTGTACTAAACTTCATAAATTTCATCCATTCAAAATGAAAATATTGCAAGAGTGAACCGAAGATGATTTAGATATGCGAGTTGAGTTTAGTGAACAAATGACTGCAGCGATTAATGATAATACCATTCATGTAAAGAATATCTGCTTCAGTGATGAATGCATACTTTATTAAATGGATTTGTTAATAAGCATAACTGAAGGAACTGGAGCAATGAAAATCCTCATGCTTTTGTAGAAGTACCCCCAAAAAATTAATGTATGGGCAGGCATTTCAGGAAACAAAGTCATTGGGCCATTGTTTATTAATGGAAATTTGAATGGAGATATTTACTTGAATATGTTAGAAAATATCGTCAATCTACTTATCACTGAAGCCAAATCGAAGAGGATAGAAACCCTATACTTGATGAGGCTGAAATATACTAAGTGACATATAAATCCGAACACCCAGTTTAAATGGTTTTATTTTAATAAAAGTTGGTGAATGTATTTATCTTACTGTAAATAACAAGTGAAAAAATGTTCAGCCTTATCAGTTGGACATTCCGGTTTTTATACTGCTTTCTTTTAATTCACTAACGCTCTAAAAATGAATATTTCAGCCGCAGTAAAGAATCAACTTTGGCGGATTTTGGTTCTTGACATCCTTTACGATCGGTTACGATCCCTAGAGTACGGAGACTTGAACGATTTCGTCAACTTAGTGAGTTTGATAGGGGCCGTATAGTGGGACTTCGGGAAGCTGGACTTTCTTTTCGGGCAATTGCAGTTAGAGTGCAAAGAAGTGTAGACACTGTGGTTAGGTGTTGTCAGGCATGGCTTCGAGAAGGCCGTACTCAAAGAGCAAGGGGCACTGGACGCCGCCGTAGAACAACAGACCGTGAAGATCGCCGCCTAAGATTATTGGCCTTAAGGGACCGTTTCTCCACTACCAGGTCCATTGCAAATGAATGGTTTGCAGAACACGGAAGACCTATTGGCATGCGAAGTGTTTACCGACGAATGAGAAGTTTTGGCTTGTTTTCATACCGGCCACACCGGGTCCTCCCTTTAACTCGAGAACACCGACGTAATCGCCTTGAGTGGTGCAGACAACGGTCACTCTGGGATCAGGAATGGAACAGTATTGTCTTTAGTGACGAGTCTCGATTTTGTTTAGGCATGCACGATGGTCGTGCCAGGGTTAGAAGGCGACGTGGTGAAAGGAGGAATCCACAGTTTTTTGTTGAAAGACATGTTCATCACACTGTTGGAGTTATGGTTTGGGATGCTATAGCTTATGGTTCCAGGTCACCTTTAATCTTCATCAGAGGTAACATGAACGCGCAGCGCTATATCCGCGAAGTTCTAGAACCCCATCTTTTACCCTATCTTAACACCCTGGCAGATCCAACTTTCCAACAAGATAATGCCCGACCACATGTTGCAAGAGTCACAATAGACTTCTTTCAACATAATGATGTCACATTGTTACCATGGCCACCAAGATCTCCCGACTTATCCCCAATTGAGCACGTGTGGGATATGATGGGTAAGAGATTGCTCAATTTGCAACGTCCTCCTCAGACTCTAGAAGCACTTCGAGAGGAGTTGGTGGTTACCTGGAATGAGATACCACAGGAGGACATTGACCACCTGATCATAAGCATGCCTAGGCGCGTTGGAGAATGCGTAGCATATCAGGGTGCATCCACACATTATTAAAGGTCAAAGGGCTTTAAAGCAGTGCAATCATTTTGAAATTTTTGTCATTTACTTATTATGCTTCATTAAGTACTTATGCAAAATTTTATTAAAATAAAACCATTTAAACTGGGTGTTCGGATTTATATGTCACTTAGTATATATTTCCAGTAAAACGGCGATCCTCCTCACTATATTCTTCCGGATTCGGCAATGACTAGACGACGAGTTTCCAGATAAATGGATAGGGCAAGGAGAGCCTATAGGATGGCCTGCTAGATCTCCTGATTTGACGCCATTAGACTTTTTTCTATAGGGCCATTTGAAATCTATTGTGTTTACTCCCCAACCTGAAAGTTTGGATGCTCGTCAGGAATTTAAACATCGCCTATATAATTGTTTGGCCATTAACGGACACTGATTGAAATAAAAAGTGATATTTTCGTGTGTTTTTGTTTTCGATCTGAGCAAATTAAGATACATACAGATTTTTCTAATTTTCTTGAAAAGGAAGCGACCGATTTTAAAAAAACAAACGTCAAAATAAACGACTTCGAAAGACTTTCCAAACAAGCTACTACTCGGTACCCATTGTCATTTAAAATTTTTAAGGGGATGACCCTGTGGGCACAGAGTGAAAGGGGGTGGACTAGTTTTTGATTAAAAAGTTGTCCCCCTTTAGAAATTTTTTGACGAGTCTCGACGTTTTTTGTTTTAATCAGTGGCTTTCGATAAATCCTTGGTGGGAGGTTTTCTAAACACCCTGTATATAAAGATGGCAAAGTCATCAACTCCACAAACATATCTCTGACGTCGTCTCTGTAACCCGTCTTATACGTAATACTTTTCTTTGGAGACCAAAAATACTTTGTGAATGGGTGGGGTGGCCCAAGCATATCAGATCACAGCTCGTCACCGAGTTAAATAGGATACAATAGAAGGTGATCACTACTTTATCAGACACCTCACTTACTAGAGAACGAATAATAAAGATGGTTCTCGCAAGCTTCTGAGACAAGTAATTGACGTGCCCCTCCCAAGATAATACAGGGTGCGGCAGAGAGGACATTTTTGGGATGAGTAGTACTCTCCGCCACCGTCTACGAGAGAGGTGGGGAGGGTGCCGTTTGACTCGTGAGTCCCTGCAATATTTTACCAGTTGTCGTTAAGGAGCCTTGGACGGTTTAGCACCGCGTTTTCGCCTATAATTGTTTCGTCCGAAATAATGGGTCAGTCATCGTCGTACAGCGTGAGTTTCGTCGCCACTTCAACATTCATCGGAATAGAGCTGTTCCCTCTCGAAACACCATCCTTCGTTGGGTTGAATCTCTTCGCAGGCGTGGTGAACTGATCAACAGAAGACCAAGAGGAGCGCCGCGAACAGTTCGAACTCCTGAAAATGTTGAACGCGTTCGACAGGTCTTTCTTCGCAGTCCGACTCGATCTGCCCGGAAACATGCTGCTGCACTTCGCCTTAGTGATCGTTCGGTAAGGCGAATTTTGCATATGGATCTCCGCTTTTACCCCTACAAATTGGCCATTGTGCAACAGTTACAGCCCGGAGATTATACACAACGAATAAACTTCGCACGTGAGATGGAAGCACTGATCGATCAAAATGAGAACCTCATTCTGTTTATGAGTGACGAAGCCCACTTTTACCTAAACAGCATGGTTAACCAGCAGAATTGTCGTTATTGGGCTAATGAAAATCCGCAACAGTTACACGAAAGACCGCTGCACAGCCCAAAAGTAACGGTTTGGTGCGCTGTATCGCAAACTTGCATCATTGGCCCTTACTTCTTCGAAGACGGTAATGGTCGTGATGTTACCGTGAACCCAGAGCGCTAGGTCGACATGATCACCAACTTCTTTCTCCCTGAATTACGACGGCGACGTGTTCCAATCCGACGTGTGTGGTTCCAGCAGGATGGGGCGACCGCCCACACAGCCCGAGCATCCATGGACGTTATTCGCCCTCTCTTCCCTGGTCGCCTTATTTCCAGATTTGGCGATGTTCATTGGCCTCCTCGGTCCCCAGATTTATCCATATGCAATTTTTTCTTATTGGGACACCTGAAAGCTAGAGTATACGCGAACAAGCCCCGAACTCTGGACGAATTGAAGGGCGAAATTCGCGTGGAAGTCGCCCAAGTTGAGAGATCGATGTTGGAGAGAGTCTACGCGAACTTCCAAGAACGCCTCCAACACTCCATCAACGACTTCGGCCACCACATGCCTGATGTGATTTTCCACACTCGACTGTCTCAAATGCTATTTCCTTGTGAACCTGATTCCATCAATAAATTTGTTTTCGAGTAAAAATTAACTATTTTATGATTTTTTTAAAACCGTCCATCCTGTCTGCCGCTCCCTGTATAAGCCTAGAGGTTTTTCCTGGGCTGACACGTCATTCACCGCAAGACGTCTGTGGATAAAGAAAAGATATTTTTTTTTGCTTGTTGAGCATCAAACAGTTTTGAGAAATTCAACGAGCTATTTTGGTTTGAAGGTTTGATAAGTCGTTCTTTAATAAGTCAAGATCAGTGTTAGATAGCAACAAGGTGGTGTCATCTGCAAAAAAGACGGAGTTTGCCTCAGGTACAAATTTTCTAGTCGATTTATATAGGCCAAGAAAAGAACTAGATCAAGGACTGACCCCTGAGGTGCGACTTATGTTATTTGGCACTCGGTGGATGCTCTGCCGACTACTACAGTAATTTGTCTACGATTTGCTAGATATGATTTAATAAGTCTATCGTCAAAAGGTTCTAAGATTTTTCGCATTTTATACAGGTTACTGTCCCCCACGGTGGTATCATATGACGTATACCCACGAGGCAGCGTGGTGCAACTAGAAAGATGGGGCACGAGGGCAGCTTAAGAGAACAAAGGATCAGTGGTGTGGGTAGGATTAAAATTGTCTCTAACAGTCGATCCGGAAAGTTGGTTAACAGCTGATGCTGTAGACTAATTGGTTAGGTCGGCTCCACGGCTAGAGGAGATGCGGGTTCGATCCCATGTTGTTTACTAACGAATATGTTTATAAAAAGGTTCTTGAATTTACCTTTAGTTGTAGTAACTGGACCCTCAGTGACGGTGGTCTTTTCAGTTGTAATCCTTTCTGAAATCAAACAAAAACTTTTCTAAAGCAACTATAAAGAATACAAGCAATTATTTTGATAAAAACACATTTTAGCATTTCGCCAATATTCAGTTTCACGCTACGCTTTATCAATATATTGTGCAACATGTTTTATGTTTTTACGTGTGTTTCTTACTTTTTGAGATTATTTTTTAGCTAGAGGGTGATATTGTAAATAAAAGAAAAAGCTGTGGATGTAGGTTAACTAAACATCAAGCATCATGCTACATAATTGCCTTAACTTTCATCATTTTAATAGCTCTTAAATAAATGCCATCAAATCAAAATTAAAATTTGTGACAATGAAGTATTTCTAACTGATTTCTCATAATCAGCTTTTTCTTATTAATGAAGCGCTCTAAACTGCGATTAGTATTAATAATAATGTTATTCCAAAATGCTAAATGCGTCTTTACATACCATATAGAATTAGTGAAAAATTAAATATGACAAGTATCACTGGCAAACTGAATAAGAAGGAAGAAATATTAGTAGCAAAGGGATGTCTTTGAAGATAGTCACCTTTTTTAAAAAGCAACACGCGCTATAGCAGGTGTTTTAACGATATACCATAGTATAATGTATGATACGATATTTGAGAGATTAGACCTGTCTGTGACTTCCACCATGCAGTATAAGTTGGACACGGGACATCACAATATTTGTCAGACCATCAGAATCACAGTACAAGTCTAACCTCCTCTCTAATGATAATATGAGCTCTAATCTACTGAAGATGTTCCTCAAAAAGTGTAACGTTGAACATTTTTCTTAATTGCATCCTAGTGATCACTGTATAAATAAGAATAGTTTGAAAATGTTGATTTCATTCGGTAAATTCGAAAATTACTCAATTTTTGCATACGCTCTTCAAAATTTCACATAATTGTTCAACTAAACAATAAAGTGGGAGTTTTAGAATTATATTTTTGCAGCTCAATACACCAACCACAAAACAAAAGCTCTTAGCAAGTCAATCAAAGTCATAATATTTTTAAAAGATGTTTTTGAACGAGAATTCTTTGCAATCTACCAACTGAAATCTACCAAATTCAAAATAGAAAAACCGAGATAAATGAAGTGTGTCAATGTGTCTGCTGTCGGAGCATTGTATAGCGTTATTCGTGAAAAAATGCTTGTACAGGACGAGAAGGGTTTTCAGGGCAAAAGGGTGCGCACACCAAAACATTCTCTCACCCGTCCTTTAATCTTTCTCTTCCTTCATTTTTGACACCTCCGAAGTCTCTTCCGATTGGTGTGCGCACCTCCAGACACACCAATCACATATCTTGACATTTCTTTCTTCCCTCTTCCTTAGTGAAACACAAATCATCTTCCGATCCGTGTAATACACACAAATTGTATCAACATCATCGCCTTAAGACAATTTAATTTACAGGTTCACTCATTTTTTACTTCATATATGAAGACATATTTCTCGATATCCTTACATTGTTTAACTTCTCACCAAAAAACTAAAAACTTATCATCAGCTTTTACCACTGTCCGGTTGACTTTAATAACGTCCAATGATTTTATTATTATTTTTTCCTGAAATAAGACTTGATTCGACCTTAAAATTTCATGTTTTTTTGATACCATCTGCTACATGTGCTGAGTTTTATTTGATCTAATTTAAGAGTCCCAGTAACCTCAAAATGCCAAGAATCAGATATCTTCATTTTTCTTCCTGAATTTTTAGATCCATGTAATATCAACATGATCGCTCTTAGACAATATAATTAATAGATTCACCCATGTTTGACTCCATATATGAAGACACATTTCTCGATATCCTTACATTGCTTAGCTTCTTGTCGGAAACTAAACATCTAATGACCTCTCAGCAATGTTTACCACCATGTAGGTTTGACTTTATTAACCTCCTATGGCCTTATTAGGGTTTATTTCTATGATGGAATTTTCTCAGGTTCCAAAATACGCTATTTTGGTGGTTGAGATACCAACATTGACTTGGTCTTAACATATCATGGTCTCATGATACCATCTCCTGCATGAGTTAAGTTCTCTTCGACCTAAAAAGTCTCATTTTAAGAGTCCCAGTAACCCCAAACGCTGTACAAAGATCGGAATCTATCACCTTCTCTAGAATTTTCTTCAAACTGACCTCATACTAATTTTCATGTATCAAATATCATCGTTTTAGCCTTTTTAAAGCAACTTCTAAGTACTTGTTAAAACTTACATTCTAAATATAACAAAAATCTTCGTGATTGGGTTTTCAAAATGGAATGGTAACGAGCAACTTATAAGCTCAATTTTCATCTATACAGTAGACTTGACTAGATCTTCGAAAGCTGCATCTATATTGCTTTCATCCAGAAGATCTGGGCAAACAATATCTGGAAGAGTTTTACTTCTTACCACACCAGTTGTTTGTCTATACGCTGACCGTTTCTCGGAAGTTTTTATTCTATTTATACTCCTTTTAACATTTTTCTCATGAGGTTCTGGAGATTTACTTCCAAAGAAGTATGCTTCTATCGTCTTCTTCTTCTGTTGCAACTCTTCTCTCGTTATCCCAGCTTCAAACTGACCTTTAGGTACCGCTAAGTTATGACTAGACTTAGACTTGACTATTGCTCTGGCCGAACAAGATCTTGGAGTCCCATCTACTTGATTCGCCATACAAATTTGGTGCCACGAGTCTGATTTACTCAGCATTTGAGCTTGTGTCGGTACCTTAATTCCAGGTGATGAAGGCGCCACATTTATCACAGGTATGTGAAACTTACTCGTTACAACTCCTTGACTATTATTGTTCACAATCAAAGGTTGAGGTTTCGAGTTGGCAACGTTGTTATAGATAGGTCCCAGCGGTTTTTGTTGCTGCATGGGCTTAACAACTCCAAAGGTCTTGGAATTTTCCTCAAACTTGCTCTTGATGCTTTTAACAGGCACAGTAGGTTTAGGTGCTTCGTTTGGATCATAGAACTTACTGAATCCTTTTTGATCGTCTGCTTTATATCTACTTTGGACGTCTCTTGTCATATCAGTGTTTGGCTTGAAGCTATTTGGCGGTTGGCTGTTTGCAACAAGAGCAGTGTATTTGAAGCTGTTAGTTGGCGACACTAAAGGCTTACTTTGAGGTTGATATTGAACACTGCTTCTCGGGGACTTGTTAGGGGGACTCATCTCACTCTTACCAACTTTCTGTAAAGCAGACTTCAGCTGGAACGCTGCAGCAATGTCGTGTTGGTCCCTGTTCATTGGGGATTTCTGACGAACTGTGACCGCCTGTTGACTTACTGGACCTTTCATAACCTTGCTGCTTATGGCGTTGTACTCATGGATGCTCTCAGTAGACAGCTGCTTCTCCAGACGTTTAGGTTGTACCACAGGCTCTATCACTTGCACTGGTACCTGGTTGGGGTTCTTAGAGCTAATATTAAATTGAAAAGATGAGGTATATTGTTGTTCCTGAGTGTCATCTTTACCTGGGACATGTTGGAACACTTGCATAGGTTGAGGTTCAACCTTATTGTAGTTGTACATAGTTTGAGGCTTAGGCTCAACCTTGTTATAATTATGCATATGTTGAGATCTAGGCTCAACTTTGCCATAGTTCTGATTAGATTGAGTCTTAGGCTCTACTTTGCTATAGTTATGCATGGATTGAGTCCTAGATTCGACTTTGCCATAGTTCTGCATAGATTGATGCTTAGGCTCTACTTTGGTATAGTTTTGCACAGGTTGAGGCTTAGGTTGATCGTAGGTGATACTATAATTAACAGGAGTATATTCTGAGACATTGAAAGGTTGATACTTTTCAGATTGAGTACGACGCACACTATCCTTTGACCTTGGCTCGTAGTAATTTTGAGGATCAGGAACATTTGGTATGAAGCTTTGAGTAACTTTAGTCGTGTATTGTATATTCTGGTCCATGCTTTGTGGAACCCTATGAGGAGGTACATAATGCGTCTTAGGTTGCTTTTGATCTTCAATCTTATTCCCCATATTATCGTATTGATCACTAAGTTTACGCACAGTACTATTTTTCTGATCAGTACTCTTGACGATGTAAGGTGCAGTCATTTTTTCAGGTGGTGTCTGCTGGGGTGCGAATCCCTTGCTGATTTCTTTACTCAATTTCCTAGGCTTGACAGGAAAGTTGTCTTGTTGAGGAGGAGTTTCAAACTTTTTTGCAGCCATACTAAGCACTCTACCACCATGTTCCACTGCGTTTGCTACCCAAGGTTTTGAAGTGATTATTGGGGATGTTGCCGCAGAGCTGTTTTGGCTTTGAGGTTGCATTGGCTTGGGACTATAGAGATACAACTGGTCATTTCTAGCATCTATAAGCTCAGTTTTTATGACCTCTTTTGTGGCAAGCTCAGGTGTGGTTGGATTCTTCTGTGGTAAGGCCACGAAAGCAGATTGTGGGGCATGTGAAAATTTGTTGAAAGGTACTGGTTGAGGTACCAGTTTGTAGTTCCTCTCTGGTTCAGCTTTTAACGTTAAAGAGCCTTTCACAACATGTTGATTATGTGGCGCAACATTATCTTGTTTTTTCCTTTGCTTTTCTTCGTACATTTGCTGCAGGTTTCTAGCGCTTTTCCTACTGATTTTAGGTCCATGCACCTGGCTGTTGCTTATTACATGATCATCCTGTGACTTCCAGAAGTTTTTTGCAGCATTTTCTGGCACACTGTCTGTCTCTTTTTCATATTTGTTCTTTATATTTCCAAACCTATTACCCCACATCGACGTTTTGTTGGTATGCACCCAAGGAGTGGTCTTGTTCTCAACGTTAGAATTATTCTTGTTGATAAATGCAAGGAATTTCTGATCTGACTCAGTTTTAGGTTGCAAAACAGGCAATGGGTTTTTGTTCAAAGGATCATGCACCCTGATTGGCCCACGCAAGGCATAGTAGTTGTTTTTCCGACGTTGCTCTTCATCCTCAGAAAATTCAGAATCATCTTCGTCTGTGTATATAAGAAGAGCCTTAGGTATATCGATAGTGTTAGCCCTTTTCATTTTGTTTTTCTTCGACATAGTGTTAAACCTGCTCACTTTCTCTTCATACGAAGGACTTCTGGCTCTTTCAAAGTTCTCCAAAGGCCTTGAGTAGATTGGATTGACCTGTTGAGGAGAAGGTGCGTGATCTAAATTTGCGGATTCAACTGTCAAGCCTTTAACTGTGTTATCGTCTTCTTCAGATTCTGCAGCACTTTCGGAAGCACCTTTTTTTCTTGCAGCAGCCTGTTGGACCGCTTTGTGAGCTGTTCTGATACCTTCAACGTCTTCCAGAAGCTCAGAAGAGTCTGATTTGACAACGCAACTTGACGTCCTGTCGTTTACATGAGCTGGAGCTGTCTCGTGATATCTGCTTTTCTCGCCAAAAGCTGCTTCGAAATGCCCTGATGGATCAGTAGGTGTCTGAGGTACGGAAGATGCGTTTGATATACTATTGCTGGAACTATTGAATGGTTTAGCTATTGCGTTTTTAACAGGACCTTTAGAGCCAAGTTTTGAGAAGGAAGAGGTGCTAGTAACGCTACTTTCAGAGTTTTGTTTCTGGAGGTATTTGATGAGCTTATTTTCGGAGTTAGATGGAGTAAGTTCGTGCAAGGAGATCTGTTCCATCAACTTCCTAGCATCTGCTAGTTCCTCACTGCTCACACCAACTGTATGGCGGTTCTGTCTGCCTCTACGACCTTTGAACCTACTTGGGCCGCTAGAGAGTCTTCTTTCAAGCTTTGGGGTAGTCGTGGCTAGACCAGCTTGCAATTTGGTCACCAACTGGAGTAAAGAAGCACGTCGCTCAGGAGAAATATCGGTAGAATCGTCCCTTAGGCTGAAAGAGAGTTTTTCAAGCGCGGTTTGGACCTCGGCTAAGAGACCGCTTCGTTGGTCTTCACCGGATTCGGTACCGCTGTCTGCGAGCTGCTCTTTATCAGGGGCGTCTAGTAGGCCTTGGAGAAGTGGAAGAAGAAGAGACTCACCGTCTATAGGGGCTGAAGACGGTGATTGCTCAGATTTGTGATGCTGCTCGGGGCCTTGGCTCAGGCTGGCTTTCTCCACCAGGTCTGCGCAAGCTGAAACATGTATTGGTTTTACTGCAAGTCTGTGAAAGATGCCCTGTAAGCTTATGTTACAAATTCGACTCTCTCCATTGGGATTTCGGAAACAATGAGAGATGAAATTGCTTAAATGGAGCAAAGTTGCGTATTTAGGTAAATAACTAAATGTCGTATAGGCAGTTTCAAAATTGAAAGTACTTCCGGAGAGTTACGGAAAGAACCGAAAATCGTTTTAAGTTTTTCCTGACTTCATTCGTAGTGGGATTTCAAAATAAATTTGTCACTAATATTGCCTTTTTCTTAATATAAAAAATCTTAAATGGAAAGGGGGGTCGAGTGATACCTTATTTTAAAGGTCTCTCAATTCCCTTTATAACGATATAAAATTAATGTATGTTCAGTAGTTTTGAAGATTTATTGATTTAAAGCTTAAATAAAACCAATACATCATCATTAGTGGAGATCAATACATTTGGCAGCAAAGTAATTTAAAAATGAAGAATGAACTGACCCGTTAGGCAAGTAAATGTTGAAACTGGCCACCATGACTCTCCATGCAATAATAAAGATTTTGCTCAAAACGTTGCCGCACATTTTGCAATATTTGAGGAGTAATTTGAAGGCACTCATTCACAATTCTTTGTCGCAGGTCTTCTAATGATGTTGGCTGAGTAGCATAGATTTTGCTTTTTAAATGATCCCACATAAAGAAATCCAAAGGTGATAAATCTGGGGATCTTGAGGGATCTGGAAACGTCTGATCTAAATATTGTCGAACACGTAATGCGTAATGTGATGGAGCACCATCCTGTTGGAACATCAACCTATTCGCAATGTACCGCCGATCATTCTGATTTTCAATTATGGCTGTCAATGCAGGATCTATGGCGTCTTCCAGTAATTCCAAACACATTTCACCGGTCAAATTTCCAGGTAAAAAAAGGACCAACTAAATGATCGCCAAAAATATCAGCCCAAACATTTAATTTTTGTGGCTGCTGTGTATGAACCTCATGATAAATTCTGGGATTAGAATCGGACCAATATCGGCAGCTATGACGATTTACTACGCCATTTAAGAAAAAGGAACATTCGTCGGAATAGCAAGTGTTGAATAGAAAATGTTCATCGTTTATAATTCGTTCACTCATATCTTTACAAAATTGTAATCGCCGATCAAAATCGTCTTCATTAAGTTCTTGTACCAGGTGAATCTTATATGGATGAAAACTATGGGCCTTTAGAATCCGTTGGTTAGTACGTCGACTAACACCACACACAGTCTCCAATTTGCGGGTACTTAACGTAGGATCTACATAAACTTGCCCTAAAACCCCCACTTCTATTGCTTCGTCCTTTATGGGATTTTCAATGTTGCGTTTTTTATTGGCGACTGACCCAGTTTCCCGAAATTTAGCTACAAGTTCTAGAACATATTTTTGATGCATTAAATATTTCTGCTGTTCTATTAGCGCACTGATTATTTCCGAAAAATATTTCTGCTGTGGAATATACCATGGTTAATTTATGTGATAAAGCGTTACAAGTTATTTTGGCAACAAAGATTGGCCAAATCAATCGCAAACTATGTACCAAATTCTTATTTAAAATAAGTACGAGCTATTTTCTTATCTATCTTCAAGAAATAACTTTTTTGCCACAAAAAAAAAACGCTCCAATAGCTATTTTCAACAACAAAATGATAAACAAACCATTGGCGTAGTGAAGAAAAGCATTTACTTATTAAGCAAATTCTTTTAGTCAAATTTCTCGTACAAACTAATCTGATGTACCTATTAAAGTCTACTTTACGCTTTAAATCAATAAATCTTCAAAACTACTGAACTGAAAGGGAATTGAAAGGCCTTTAAAATAAGGTATCACTCGACCCCCCTTTCCATTCAAAATTTTAGGGTTGGTGTCACCCCCGCTCAGGGGGTTGGACGTGTTAACGTGTTTTTTTGCCAAACTTGTGTTCCCCTCGAAAACAAAATTGATGGGTCTGACCGTTTTTCAAAAAAAAAATGAGCTGCCAGTAAATGCGTCTGTTTCGTTTTCGATGCGCCAACCTGTATAATATGTCATGCAATAATATTGCCAAACCATAGTTATTTCAAAAAATAGTATTTCCTAGGTAGCACTTGAAATTATCAAGATATTCATTTTTTGTTTCGTATACTTGAATGGGATTAAATTACTTGTAGTATTTGTCACTTTTTCTCCTCTATAAGATGGCGTAATCAAATTTTCAATTCGAGGCTTCTTCTTTCGACTTCCATCACCAACTTTGTTTTTTCATATGAACGCTATATTGGAATTCTGCACCTTTAAATGGAGTTTTCAGTCCTAAATTCAGTTCAAAAATATTTCCTTAGTTGGCCATGAATTTGATGTTGGACCGAAAATTGCAATTTAATAAAAAGTTATGTAGTAATCTGAACACGAAATGAAAATTTTATTGATGATAATAACAACAATAATTATAAATAAGCAGAGGAGAATCATAGTAAATGTTCAAAACAGTATCTGTTATTTTGTAGGCAATGCCTGACCCGTCTGTGTACATTGTTCACTGCTTGGTTTATTGCTCTTCTTCTCAGCCTTCCAAACTGTGTTACTATATTCAAAGGCCTGAAGGTCTGGTCGGGTATATACGGAACTGATAATTTGAAGGCCTATCTAAGAAATTCTGTTTTTTCTGAAAACTAAGATTTGGCAATGTCAGTGTATGACACGCATATTATACATTTTTGGAAAAAAGAAACAAGTTGATGCTGGAGGATAAGAAACGAAACGTCATATTGAAATTCTGATTATGCAATCTTGTAGAGCAAAAAAAGTTGCAATGTTAATGTGCAATTTATTTGGAAATCCCATCATGAGCAAAGACATGAAAAAATTAAAACAGTTTTAGGAAAATTCGGTTTCTTCCGTCTCTTTCTCGAAGTACTTTGAATTTAGAAACTTTCTACAAGGCATTTTGTTGATTACCTAAATACTCAACTTATGAGCGACTTCGTATCTCGTACAGTTCCCGAGATCCCAATGGTGAGGGTCGAATTTGAAACACCCTGTATATACAATAAAGGGGCAGTTAAAATGTTAAAACATCTGCAATACTTTTTGCAACTTTCTGTTGGTGAGATTTTTGCCAATGATCAGATGGATCTTTTTTGTGATATAAATACATCTAAAGAACGCGTTGAACAACCCCAGAAACATACCTTGAATCCACATTAGGAAAATAAACTTGTATCAGCTGTTCAGCTTTTAAGATGTTTTTTAACTGTCTAAACACATGACTGTGAGAGTTCCTCCCTTCTACCCAACACTAAGAGACAAGTATACAAATAATTGTTGTAATAAATCCATTATTACTGGGTGTTCTTTTTTCTATATTATATATTAATGCTTTAATATAAAATTATGAATTAACTCCATAAAAGTTATTTTTATGATAATTACAAATACAAAATTCCATGAGCGTCTATTATTAAATTGCCTTATTTGTAAATTAATTCGGACTCATATTGTATCTCGTACGTCAAAATTTTATAAATAGAAACAAATTCGCAACACGTGTTACCTTTCGTAGAAGTTCAACACCTTCATCAAAACACCTCGACTTCAATGTAAAGTTTCATATCAAAGTGATATCAAGGTGAGAATTTAGAAATTGTGCATCGACGTATATCTGACACGTTATTTATAAACCGACATTCTACAATGTTTTACACAAATACGGGGGATTTTCCCATAAAGATAATAAAAACAAGTGGACCAAATACAGAAAAAGATTTGTCTAGAACGTAGTATCAACGATATTTTACTGTAAATATAGAGCAATCTGGTTAATATCTAATGAAAGTTTCTTTTTGACAAAATACATCTCTATAAATATTGTTTGTGAGAAACATATTTCTGTCAGCTGTGTCATGCCCTTTGTGTGACAAAATATGCATTAAACTGAAACGAAAGACTTAGACAAAGAACAATACACAAACACAGTCAACATGTATTCTTACGTTGTTCAAAAAGCAGCTACTGTAGAACTGATATATCCTCCGTATTTATTCGTATTTACGAAAAAATCCTGCGAAAAATATTCCAGTAATGAGGTGTCTCTTCACAAAAGCACTATACTGTCACAAGCTTCTGACAAATAGCTTTACGGGAATGATTGCCGAAATTATGCGCAACATGACGTCGAAAATACGTAAAATAGTATTTTTATGAATTATTGCTGTACTATATTTCGAATTGTGCACTGTTTTGTCGTCAAAAAACACGGTAATAATCACTTTCACCGAATTCTGTGATGAACTGAATCGTGGACAGCATCCGAATCAAACAATGCTTTCGTATCGAAAGGAAAATCTGTTGTGTAACGAAACAGAGAACGTGATTTTCGAAATGATTCTGTGACGTACAACATTCAAATTTACGTATATTTTATTATATATTTGTTTTTCGAATGGCCCGGCACCTGGCAGTCTGTTTTTGGTTACCGTCCAATGTTTATTTTTCTCGAATCACTGGATTGCAATATGGAATATTTTGAAGTGCAATTTATAAGGATTTAAGGAGCTTGAGAGCTGCTATAGGGTGTCTTATTTTAAATAGAACACCTTTCATATATTTTTTGATTCTACGCGAGATTCTGAATACATTTCATGTATATCCTTCTGTACCTATAAGCCTAACCGCTTTTGAGATATTTTATTGATTATAACAATTTTGTTTCATATTTTGTCCTCCTCGTATGATTTATAAAAACCTTATACAAAATTAACTTTACTTTCAATGCTTCATACGATGAAATCGTAAGAGAAGTTAAAAAAAATTACTACCCCCACCCCCTATTTTTTACCCTCATTTTTTTTCAAAAAACGGAGCTTTATCGATTTTTAGTTTTATTTTTGTTTTGGCCTTTTTCTCCGCCGCCACACTACAAATCTTGGCATAGAGTAACCTTGTGTAAAAATTTCATCTAAATCTTAGCAGTACTTTCCAAGTTACCTATAGACAGGCCAAGGATTAGCAAACAGACAGACAGACAGACACGAAGACACAGAAAGCAGGCGCGGATCCAGGGGAGGGGGCAACGGCGTCATTGCCCCTCCCCAAGGACTCAGACTTGCAGAAAAAAATGAGTAAACTAAACTGGAAGGAAGGAAGGATCACATTATTTTTTATTTTAAAACTTAAAATAATTTATTTTGTGCATTCTGCTCTTACACTGCTATTTATTAATTACTTTACAATATCCCCTGAAAGTAGGCAACCTAAATTATTTGACCCCCCCCCCCCCTCCCCAGACGTGATCAAGGATCCGCGCCAGAGAGACCGACAGACAAACAGACCGCCGGAAATGAGTGAAATTATTTTTCGTATAATAACCAAAAAACATAATATCTCATTTTCGAAATTTTTCGTGATTACAATACTGACTCGCCCAGTAACGTAGGAAGTAAAAGTTGTAATTTAATGTGGCATTCACCATCTTTCACGTAAAGTTATTTAAAAAATCTGTTAGACCTAGGCATATAATGATATAGGTAGGTACAACATGAATAGTATTAAGAATATCCCGTAGTACCTCAAATTTAATATCACATAGGGTATTCGACTTAAAATAACCAGTTAGTATCTACCTCCTGTACAACTGGAAGTGCCACCATTTTGAAAATATTTGAGTCGATTTGGTCTTAACAATCATATTACGTTTCTCGCGTCAACTTTTCGAGATATTGATCTCTGCAGTTCCACATTGGACGTATAAATACATATTTGTGACCTTTTAATTAGCGATTTTGAACATCTAATGAACAGATACGGAGCTTACCTTCTTGTTCTGCCATGACTTGACGTAGTCTAGCCCTTATGGCACGCCTTTCTTCGTAGCCTAGGCTTTGTTCAAGCTGAAAATATTTTCGTTAGGTATACAAGTATCATAACAAAATATGACTATTCTCAAATATTCGAAAGCTGATTATTATGCATATCCACTTACACGACATATTTTTCATCCAAAATAATAATAGAATCAGTTTTTTTTACAAATTTGTGAAAAGCCCCTTTAAGCCTCATTGTCGTTACCCCAAAAGAAGCCTCTGTTAAAGAAATGCTTACCAATAATCTCAAAGTTTGTTCGTCCCAGATATTTTCTAGATCCTCTTCTGTGATCGGATGCTGGTAGACGAGTGTTTTTGTTACCGGTTTACCACCCTCCTAAAACAAAAAAATGTGTCAATAAATAGATATTATTCTAAATTTCAAGATAAGTTTTTGGTAACTTTCATAGGATCCACAGTTAAAAAAAATAAAGTAGTATTGTTTTGTCAATCCGAAGGTAAATTTCGCTCAACACTGTGATACATAAAACCAACGATTACGTGAAAGCTCAATAGGTGCAAGGGGTATTCTCATACAACGTTGATTTTATACTGTAACCCACTCGTAACTTAAGCTTTATGAGACGCCCTACATCGACGTAGGCAACCAGAATTACACCGCCCATCGAGATTATTCGAGCGCCATCGAGAAACGTCAACCGCCAGCTAGCAAGCTTCGAAGAAAGCCCGAGAAAACGCGGGAGCACTCTGGACCCGTTGATTGAAGGATAAAGGAGACTCGATCATGAGTCAGCGGGCAAGACGCGATAGTCCAATCGACATAGTAATACATTTGTAATAAATTGGTTGCAAGTATTGGAATAAATTAGATTTTAAATAATAAAAACGGTGTTTTCGTTACAGTATAATAGCGGTTGACTCTCACTTGAAACCTAGGCGCGGATAGTTTTTGGTCAGTTCAATAAAAGTACATTTTTTGAACGATTTAAATACTAGTAGTAAGTTTGGAAATCATGCGAATTTCGATCAAATAATGAAGTCTCAAGAATTTCTGACAACTTGATTAAAAGTCACATTTATGAACATTCCTTGAGGATAAAGTACAGTTTTTCCATTCCGATGTAGCCGCGTATGCAGAAGCCTAAATGCCAGGGTATCGTGGCTCTATAAAGAGCCTAAAGTAATTTTGTTGATCCGATTTTTCAACTGCCTAAGGTCAGTAGGACTGGGAAAAGCCTCCTAAGGAAGATTGTTTCGTAATTTCGGCACCCTAGAGATAAAGGAGCGGTTGTATCGGCCTGTTCGACACAGCTAGTATAGAAGGCTGAAGTCAGGTGGGTCTGTCCGGCTGGCTCATCGCGCAGTGTCATTATGGAGTGCTTTGAGGAGCAAAGCCCGTTAATATAGCGGTATAAGAGAGCCAGATCGCCGACGGTCCGCCAGTGCAAAAGCGTCCGAGATAGTGTAAGCAAGGTTTGTTTGTTTTGTGTTTGTTTTATTCCAAATACCAACTTTCACATACAGGATGTTTCATCTATTACTCCATTATTTTACATTTTGCCAGCTTTTTGGGTGTTCTAACCCACTGTGCGTCGGTGCGAAAGAGTCCCGAGAGTCTAACATGGAACATGTATTCGGGGCGGCAGCACCCCAAATATGTGAGCAGTACTTAGTGAATAACCTCTACTTAGAATTTGAACGTACGCTTAAGAGAGAATTTGACATATGCACTCCAAAGTAAACTTTGTCATCACAGGCTGTCATCGATGTTTGAAACATTCTCTTTTTCAGGTCGAATTTATTCAGTAATTTTGGATAGCTTGATTTTCTTGTGGTGAATGTTACTAAGGCGATTTTACTAACAGAAGGCCAAGTACTGGATCTAATTATCATAGTCAATTTTTTCTCAGATTTTTCTCAATATAGAAGAGAATAATACGATTTCTGTAAGATGGGCCTCTAATCCCCATATTAAATCAAGAAATTCTTAATAAATCACCTGGTTTAGCTACAAAACGTATTGTTTTAGATGATCTGCGGGATCAAAACCCATGATCCGAATAAACAATGATCCATTAGAAAGCGTTTTCGTAAAATTGACCAATCGAAAACAAGTATCATAAACCCATCTTGAAGATGATAGAACCATATTCAAAACAAACATAAACAGCCGAAAAAATAAATATTAGGTGTAGATTTCAACAAACCCCTTAATTATCTTCCATTATCACATGTTGCCTATTTCGTATGTCATCCTTCAAGGTAATAAATAGAGATATTTCTGGGTTACAGTCATTTTGAATATCATTATCTGGTATACCCTTTGCTTTATAAATTTTTAGAAAACAATGGTAGAAGCCAGATAACGGAATGAACGGTTAAACAAAATTTGAGAAGGCTTCTGATTGGTCAGTGCCTTTATACTATTGAAGAGTTCTTCTCTTTTAGGCATTTTTGATGTTTTATTTGTGTAAAATATGTTTTACTATTATTTTGTTCCCATCTTTAAGTTTTTATAGAGCATATACTCGTAATATCTACAGGAAAATAAAGGAATTTGAATTTGACCAAAACTGGCGAACTTTGATTTTCGCAGAGTGTACGCCCCTCGTATCGTCGATTCGCTGTTGTTTCGCGCATGTTCTGCTTGGCAACGCACACCGCGATTCGAGTCGCCTATTTTGGCAGCGCATATGCTGCGATGCGAAAAACGAAAATCCTGCTTTCCAGATACACGCTTACCTTGTTTCGATGTGATAGAAACAGGGAAATGCGGCTGTCTTTTTTTTTAATTGCTATTAGCGAATTCCCAACCGGCGGTAATTTGGGTTTCGAAACGAATGGATAGTTTCGGGTAAAAATAGGTCGCGAAATGCACATAGATATTTTTAGATCGACAATAAGGAAGAACAAAAATGTATTATGGGTTACGCAGGACATCATTGCACTTAACGTAAAACAGAACATAGTAATCATCAAACCCAACTAGAAATGGATTCCAGAAAGGCTTCCCAATGTTATCAAAATCTAACTAAACAAAATGTTTATAGGGTCACCTCAGCAACTGTCAAAACGTGAATGATACTCGTAACATAGGGTTTATGGAAAGCCTGTACTGTAATATAATCTAAAAGTACAAAAAATGTGGAACCAGGAAAAGTTTTTGTCGTTGAACCAAGATATAAGGGAATCGATGAGTATAAAAAAGGCCTCAAGTAGGTTGACTTCCCACGCAACGCCGTCATCCATCCGTAAAGGATTATGTTCAGCGTAATAAGTTAGATCCTCCGTGAAAAAAGTTAGTTACGAACATGCATAACAGAGAAATGAAATGGATCAAGTCAGTCAAGCAGGCCCACAGTTAGTCCATAGATATCATTTTTCTGTCCTACCAGCAGTCCATCTCGCTACGTCGCATCTCTCCGCCTGTGATCTTAGACATCAGAAGCAGGGACGCGTAACAGAAGCATTTCTCTATCATTGTAAGGGCAAATGTATGGGGAAATCTATGACGTGTGAAATATGGCTAATAGATTGACCAATGTTGGGAGCGTATACATAAATATACCTACTAACATGAAAAAATTGCCAACCACCCTACAACCGTCCATCTTCCAATTTTTTACCCCTAATGAATTTTTCGAAAATGATTAGAACCATCTGAAACGTCAAAACACGAACGTTTTTGATTTTTTTCCGTTTTTGGCCTTTCTCTCCGCCGCCATTGAACCATTTTCAAAAACTATAAAGCTTTTTTGTCCTTGGCATAGTAGTAACCTTCAGTGAAAATTTCATGAAAATCCGATAAGTACTTTTTGAGCTATAGCGGGGTCAAGCCGGCCGATAGGCAGGACAGACTATCGGAAATGAGTGACATTGTTTTTCGTGGTGTACATGTCGCATAACATCCAAAAAACATGATATCCCCCTAACGAATTTTTTCACGACTATGATACTAAGAAGTGGTAGGTGATCTTCTCTAACAAATGGTCGTCCTCTTTGCCATGCAATTTTTTCCATAACGTAATTCAAAATCACGTATCGATCAAAATCATCTTTATTTTTACCAAGTGAAAAATAGACTTGCGTTTGTCTAAACTTCATATCAGTGTTATTTTTAAAAGTCTATTTTGGCGAAATCACGAAATCTCGCTGAACTCCATAAAAAGTTTGTACGTCGATTTTAATTACTCTGCTAATTATAGATCTGAAATGATTTTAAAACATTGCACCGACGGTTCCGCGTTCGTTAGAGTCCGTGGTATTGAGGTCACTGTCATACGAAAGATGAAATAAAATAAAAGAAGAATGACGGGTGACATCCTCAACTGGTCAGTACAGCAGTTCCTTTTTTGTGTTTTAGTAGTACCTCATATTCAGATATAACGTTCCGGCCAAGTAGATTGATAAATAAAATGAAAAATGGCATCATGTAGATTGACTCCATACTTCCTACGTCTTCGTTGCAGGTTTTAAAGAAAAATGGTGAGTCAATCCGAATCGTGATTAGGTAGCTTCACTTAGGTACGATGAATCTTCGACCTCTGCGTATCAATTTATATAAAGCAAATCTATCGTATTACTATTTCCATAGCAGACGTAAGGAAAATATGTTTGACTTGTTATGTCTAACAGGAGCATAGTATCACTGAGATAGCAGCTTCTTAATAATAGAAGGTATTTCATTGGTACCAAATATGCGACACTTACAACCATTTACCGCATTCAGCTTCCGAGCTACAATGTTCATTCCCTCCAAACAATGTCTGAGAATGAGCAGGAGTCTCTCGAACGTAATACAATGTTCCAGCGCTTTTATCTCCGCCGCCTCTCAATCAATTTCAAAATCTTCGACTAACTAAACGACTGATGTATTAAGCTCGCGATAATATTCGAACTTCAATTGTCAAGTTTCCTGATGCTTGAAGATGTCTGCATCACACAAATCCGTGTTTTTCATTTATGTCGGTTTGTCAGTCCGTGTCTTTTGTATATCAATGCGTCATAAGCACTGAGTCAATCTACTTGACGAAATATTCAGAGAACCATCATAGACGGAGTAACACAAACTGAAGGTTAAGCCCAATGGGTGGCACATTTAAGGATCATACATCATAATAACAGTCAAGTCATAAACATCATCATCACAAAACGCTAAAGTTGTATCGACGTATAGTCCTAATACCCAAATATTGCTAAAATATATAAATATTTCTCCTGTAGCGGTGTGTTAGTGATGACACCACCGCAGACCAGTTGGAGTTTGTTACCTCTTGAACATTTAACAGTGGCCTTCACGACGATGCAGCATCGCACCGAGCACGCAACGCATCATTTATCTTCATCAAGTTTCCCGCTGTCACCGGAATAAGAAGC